ACTTCATAACAATATGTTAATTTTTATTAAATAACATAAATTATTATTAAAAATGTTTTAATGTTCAAGCAATTCTTATAAATGTTAATAACATGCAATTTTTATATTTTTAATAAATACAATTTGATAATGACTCTACTCAACGATTCGTTATTCTACAAAATCTCCTCTCTAGCATACTCTTCCCTTGATGTAATCTTACTCTATGGCGAGTGACACGGATACCAACCCAAATAATCACCAAAGGACTACGTGCGTCGGGGAAATATTTGGCACTTCTGGAGGACGCGATGCACACGGAACCATATATTATCATAATTATAATCATAATTTGATTTTTAATTTCAAGATCATAATTGTATTTTGATTGACTTATTAAAAAAAAGTGCATAGTTGAAAAAAATTCTTAGAATAAGTCTTGTGTACAAGTAGAATGCGAGGAAAAATTAATGTCTTCTAAAACCATTATTTTATTCTTTCATTATTATACATATACATATTAATAGCCTATAGCAGCTGTTCCTAAGTTTTTTCCACACAACACGTGGCATCATTTTTAAACTGTGGTTATCTTATTGAATCTTTTAAAAGATGTGTAGAACTCAAAACGTTCCTCGAAAAATCGTTATACAATTTAGTGTGCCATATTTGTGTTATAAATAAAGACCGGATTTTGCATAAAATGCATGTTGCTATTTTGAACATTATAAACATGCAGACAATGAATGTCCACAAATCATTACTTGATTGATTAAATATCAAAATTTTATACTGCATATTTTTGGATATTCTGACGTTAATGCATGTTCTGCATATTTTTGCATATTTTAACAAAAACCGTACAAATATACACCTAATAATACAAAAAGGTATTGAGCAAAAAAACACAGATCATAGATACGTTTATATAATATCAAATATTTTACGTCTCAAAGAATATTCGGACGCTAAAAATAGTTCCATAGGTTAATTGAACGGGTTTTATTGTGGAGATATGGCTTTACCTATTTTATTTAATCATATTAATAAAATGCCCAAAACAACATAGGTATATACAACAACATACATTACAACCACTGCTACATTTACCCAAGACAATTATTGTTAGTAAGAATTACGATGTAGACAAATAAGTGTTGAGTGTACGTGTTTTTTCAATAATAATTATTTTGTAATTTATCAATTAATTTTTAAATAGTCAAAATTACTAAAATTCCAAATTCAAAACTAACATCAATAATTGATTAGAATTATTAGAACATGAATTGAGCCATACAATATTTCTGGTGAGGTTTTCAAAATATTAAATAATCAACAGTTTTCTGTCAGCATTGTCAAAAACCAGTAACAGCAGAAAAAAAAATTCAAATTGATCAACATGCAAAATCATTTTGCATGAAAATGTAGAAACAAATCTTCTTCTAAGAAAACCTTTTTTCATGAAGCATCAACATTGTTATAAAATCAATCACAATTTTTAAAAGAACTTTGTAGTAAATTAATTTCTTCGAAACATATCTTTATATAAAATACAAAATAAAAACTTTAAATATTTTTTGGAAAAGTACACAAAAAAACATATACCAGATGAAAGTACATTAAGAAAAAACTATTTAAATCAATGTTACACAGACGTTTTACAAAATATTCGAGAATTTATAGGCAGCTCATACATATTTTTTTCTGTTGATGAAACTACTGATCCTCGTGGAAAATATGTAGCAAATTTTATTGTTAGTAAATTGAATGCCGATTCGCCTTCTAAATCGTATCTCTTAACATCGAAAGTTCTCGAAATAACTAACAATTTAACTATAGCACAATTTGTAAACAATTCTCTTAAACTATTGTGGCCCGAAGGTAACAATGATGATAAAGTTTTATTGATATTAACTGATGCTGCTCCTTATAAGATGAAAGCTGCACAAAATGTAAAACTATTTTATTCGAATCTTGTACAAGTAATTTGTGTGGCACATGGTATTCACCGAATTGCTGAAAAAATTATAGATACTTTTAGTAAAATTAATGATTTAATTAATAATGGACAAATAGTTTTTTCAAAGGCTCTGTATAGAATTCAATTATATAAAGAAATATTGCCAAATACACATTTTGAAAATCTACCAAAAATATATTTAATATTAAACAACGTTCTCCGATAATTAGCCTAAACGAGACCTTCATTATTTCTGATGAAGAAAAGGCTAGTTCGGTTACCTACAATTATGTTAGGACATTATAAAAACTGAATAATAAAAATATCATGTTGTACTTACTATTTTTCGTCGCTTGTAAATATTCTACGAAGTTGGTTTTGGTAAAATAATAATGTAACCATAAATAACATTATACAAATTATTAACCTGAACTAACCTGATATGTGAGCCTGTGCATCAGTTGATACGTGTTTAACAACCAACGCATGTGAACCATTTCATGCGCATTTTAATTCAAGTTTCAATTCCATTTACTCCAATAAATATGCCGTCATTACAAAATTATAAGAACTACAAACAGATACGTACATTAAAATCAACAGCCTAGATGCACCATTTAAATTTCAAAATACAAAAACTAAAAAAATAAAAAAAAAAAAAAAAGAGAACTCTCAGGAAAGAACGCTTACAAAATACAGGAAATATCAGTAAGTGAATAAATTAAACACATGGCTTTTTACTTAAAAAAATAGATTTATATTTTACGATACAATTTTTCACTTATATTTTTACTCAACAGTTTACAATACTTACAGGTTTAAATTTTTTACACTTAGAAATTTACATAAATACCTTTTAAATTAATTATATAACGAATTTCATACTATAAATAATGATATGACACTGAAAATAATTTTTGGAGGATAATGAGAATCACCTCCTCGTGGTGTCCTCTGGGTAACGCTTAATGCTTCTCAAAAATATTATAAGAAAATTATATGTACATTTTTATCCGTGCTGAGTTTACACCTAAATTATTTTTAGTCGAAAAAAACATGGGCCGAGTTTATAATTGCCCATTTTTAGATACATAAACTAATTAACTCAACCTCTTTCATTAAGAATCAATCTTTCGAGATCGATGGTATAATCCATATCAATACATGTGTTTCACCGGATCTGGAAGTTTTAACAGTCGGCATCCTACTACTATCGCCGATCCGTGAGTGGTTATGGACGAGTTAAGTATCGTGGGATAAAATATACAGGATTGGACACAGTGGCGTAGCCAAGGGGGGGTCTAAGGGGGCTATAGCCTCCCCCATG